TTATTTTTTTTATAATTTTGATTTAAATAAAATAATATATAAAACTTATAATATCATATAATTTAAAATAAATTTTTCATATTTAAGTATTTATAAGTTAATTTAAATTTGACTTAAAATTTGATTTAAACTTAACTCAACTCAAATAAATTTAAGTCAAAATTGAATTGAGTTAAACTCAAGTTGAATCAAATTGAGTTGAGTTTAAAATTTACATAATTTGAATCAAGTCAAGTTGAAAGATTTTATAAAATAAATTTGACTTGACTTAACTTGAAAAAATGAGTTAAACAGAGTTGATCTTTAAACTCAACTCAACTTGACTCATTCAAAACTTTAATTAGAATGATTTATTATCATTTGAGAATGATAGTTTTATTATCTAAGAATGATGATTTTATCATTTAAGAATAATAGTTTTATTATTTGAGAATGATGTTTTATCGTTCAATTAGAATGATTCATTATTATTTAAGAATAATATTTTATCGTTCAATTAGAATGATTTATTATTATTTGAGAATAATAGAATAATAGTTTAATATATTTGAATAATAATTTTATCATTCAAGAATGATAGTTTTATCATTTGAGAATGATATTTTATTATTTGAAAATAATGATTTTATCATTCAAGAATGATGTTTTATAATTCAATTAGAATGATCTGTTATCATTTGAGAATGATATTTTATCATTTAAAAATGGTGATTTATCGTTCAAAAATGATGTTTTATCATTCAATTAGAATGATTCATTATCATTCAAGAATGATGATTTTATCATTCTAAAACAATTTGTTATTATTTGAGAGTGATAGTTTTATCATTCTTAAATGATGATTTTATCATTCAAAAATAATAGTTTTATTATTTAATAAGAATAATATGTTATCATTTGAAAATGATAGTTTTATCGTTTAAGAATAATAATTTTATCATTCAAAAATAATGTTTTATAATTCAATCAGGTCAGATCAGATCAGATCAGATCAAATGAAAATTTAAATCAGGTCAGATTTTTGTTTAACCTGATCTGATCCTCTCAGTTTAGGTAACTTGATTGATCTGACCTGAACTGATCTGTTCAAAGCTCTAATCATGTCAGTTTATCTTGTTTTATTTTTTTAGTAAATTATTTATAAATTTTAAATAAGAATAATAATAAGGTAAGAAATAAATTAAATTTAAATAAAAATAATGTTAATCATAATATATTATTTAGATATAAAGCGGAAAAATATTTTTTAATAGTAACTATCTTTTTTTAGCTTCTTTTTCTAAAAAAAATCATTTTTTAAAATTAATGTTTTTTCTAATTCATGATATTTCAGAGCTGATCATTATTAATAATCTCTAACAGTTATAAATGAATATAATAATGATAAGAAACTATACAAAACATTTTCTTTCTTATACTAATAATCTATAACAAATATAAAAAAAGAATATCTCAGCTAAATATCTGATTATCTGATCATTCAATTATTTTTTCAGATAAGGTTTTACGAAACTTGAGCCATTATTTACATATTTAATAATAATTTAATCTTTGATAAAATATCAACTAAATAAAAAATTTTTATAAGAAATGATTCATGCAATTTTTAAAGCCTATATAATCTAACTTTAAATTTTACTTTATTTTTTCATAATGAGCGACAATGTAGTATGATTACTTTTTATAAATCTTAATTTTAAATTTAATTTTTGATATAATTATTTTAAGTTCATTTAGAAAGAGAAGTTAATAATGTAAATAAACTAACATTATTTTATTTTTATATGTTAATACTTTTATATTTTAAACTTAAAATTAATAAATCTAATTTATATGCAAAAAATTTTATATGGTTCGAACATATTACAATTTTATTTCTTTTTTTTTCTATTTTTTTTTTTATAAATTTATGCCAAGAAAACTTATTATTTTTTTATTTTTATAGTAAAATGAGATTAATTTTATTTTTTTATTGGTATTTAATTATAATTATTTTTTTTGGTTTGTGTTTGTTTTTGATCATTATAAGTTTATTGTTAATTAAAATATTTTTTTATTAAAAAATTTGGTGATATTCACCTATTCCATTAATATCTTTTATACAATCAAATGGCAGAAATGGCAGAGATTATATTAGCACTATTAGAGATTATACCTGAATATGTTCTTGTTAATCTCTTGACTATTGCAATTATGGGAGATTCGTCCTATAGTAATTTTCGTAAAAAGATTATGTGGTTTCTTAGGTGTCTTAAATGTTCTTTTGATAGTCTCTTTCACTCCTTCAACATTGAAGGTAATGAAGTATTCCACTGCATAAGAATGCTAATGGTCACAGTCATAACTGGTTATAACTGGTCATAACTGTGACTGATATCAGTCGGTCAAAGGCTTTTAACTGACCGGTAGACTGACTGATTCTGACTGATTTGACTGACTGATTGACCAACTGACTTTTTTTTTTTTTTTTTTTTTTTTTTTTCCCGATGTGGCACTGCTAGTAACTTTATTAAATTTATATATAAGGAAATACAAAGTAAATCGAAAATAAATCTATGCTAAGTACTAGCTA